CTCTCTCTCTCTCTGTCTCTCTCCAACATCATGCCTGCCTGTGTGTCACAGTGTTCCACACCATGACGACCATGTACTAACCCTCAGAAAACCTGTAAGCAAGCCCAAGTTAAATGCCCCCCTCTATAAGACTTTTCTTTATGAGAACCTTCTAAGTCTTGTTTTTTTCCCAGCAATATAACATTGACTAAGACAATCATCAAAGAAAGTCATGGCAGGAACTCAAACAGGGTAGGACCTGGAGGCAGTAGCTGATACAGAGACCTGCTTACTGGCTTGTTCCTCATGGGTTGCTCAGCCTGCTCTCCTAAGAACCCAGGACACAAGCCCTCCTACATCAATCACTAATTAAGAAACTATACCCACAGGTTTCCTACAACCCAATCTTATGGATGAATTTTCTTAATTGAGGGTCCTTCCTCTCAGACGACTTTAGCTAGTGTCAAGTTGACATAAAACTGTTCAGCACAGTTAGCCACCTCTCCAATGGAAGAATGATGCTCCGGTTTTGTGTTTGAACCAACGTCATTTACAAAGCATATGGCAAACTGTGCAGCATATTAAATTATAATATTTCAAACAGCATCTATTGTAGTAAGAACCAAAGAATCTCAGCATGGTATTCTGATCTTTTCATAAAGTTAATGGAAGTTGCGATCAGCACACGAGTGAATAAAAGAGAGAGGCCACAGTAATCACTGAAAAGAAGCATCCCCTTCCCTGTGGGAGGCATTAGTCACCCTATATTTGCTGAATGGCATCAGACTGCAGGAAGTTCCTGTCAGAATCCTTCCAAGGCAGCTATTGTGAGGTTGTCTGGCAGAGGGGGCTTCCGGGGAGACTTATTTCATTGCCACTGATGGGTGTGATAAGTGCTTTTGTGTTAAGGTGGCACCATCCACAAGAAATGGAATGAGTCGCTGAGTGAAATCATAGCATCTAAGGTTCTACCAGGCTGAGAGAAATGGAACTGCCTCAACAGGACTGAAAGATCAAGGAAATCCAATCTTGGGATGTACATAGGGTGAGAGAGAATGTGGTGCCTCAACTACTAGCCTATAAGGATGATCCTGAATTCTTCTTAAGGCAAAGATAACTTATTATTTACAAACTGTGTGACAGAAGGAAAATTACATATGATACAAGCAAATAGTGCCCTAGACTTAAAAAGTAATTCATTATGGCCTAGGAATAAAAATGTTAGTAAAGTGCTTGTTGCTTAAGTGTGAAAATCTGAGTTTGATCCTCACAACCCATGCAAAAATGTAGGATGTGGTGGTGTACACTTGTAGGTCCAGCATTGGGAAGACAGAGAGGAAGATCCCGAAGGTCCACTGAACAGCCTGCTTGGCCTACTCCCTAATGTCCAGGCCAATAAGATAATCTGTCTCACAAAAACAAGAAGTCCAAGGTTGGCCCCTGACTTCTACATGCATGTGCATAATATGTGCACCCACACAAACATGCACTCACACAAACACACCACACATATAGAAGATAGTTCCTCATGACAAAGTTGAGTTTGTTATTACAGTTATCTAAGGCAGAAGTAGACTTGAGAGTGAACCAATATCATTAGCCACATTAATACATGAAACTCCCTTCAAACATGGGCTTCAGCACCATAGCCTTATTTGACACCCTGACCTGGGCTGGCCTTTGACTTACTTTAATTAATTGAATGTGGCAATACAGACAATGGTGCCAATTCCAGGGGTATCCCAAAAGTTAAAATCAGTGAGGTAATCAATATGCAGGTTTGTTTTTTGTTCACTTGACACAAACTGTGTCATCTTTGAAGAGAGAACCTTGGTTGATAAGATATCAACATCAGATTGCATGCAGGTAAATCTGGGGGAGCATTTGCTTATCAATTGATGTGGGAGAGGTCAGCCCCTGAGAAGGTGGTCCTGGGTTATATGAAAAAGCAGTTTGAGAAACTCAGGAGAAACAAGCCAGTGAGCAGCATTCCTCCATAGTCTCTGCTTCAGTTCCTGTTTCAGAGTTCCTGCCCTGTTTTAGTTCCTGCCTAGCTTCTCTCAATGATGGACTGTGATCTGGGAAGAGTTAGCCAAATAAACCCTTCCCTCTTCAAGTCGTTTTCAGTCATGGTGTTTATCACAGATATAGGAAGGAGCTGGGACAGACAATGTAATAACCAAGATAAATAAAAGACACAAGCATCAGAAAGGAGAAAAAAGAATTTCCATTTTTAAAATGATATGACTTTGTATTAATAAAATATAAAATATATATTTTATTTTGATTTACCTAATTATATAAACTTGCTGGATATAAAAATAAGATGGGAAAGAAATATAATAAACTTTTTTAAAAATTTAAAAATTAAGTCTACAAACCCAACTGTACTACTATAAACTAAAACCCAGAAATGAAAATTTAAGAAAATAGCACTAATAATAGCATGAAAAATATGTATGAATAAAACTAACAAAAGAGGTAAAGACTTCTGGACAACTTATAAAAATGTGACTAACAATTATTAAGAACACCAAAATGCTCAAAGATCAGAGGCCTTAATAATGTTTAAAATACAGCTTCTCTCCCAGTGAAATCCCTCACCCTAATGTTTAGAACCCAGTAAGCTGATTCCAATATATTAGAGACTGACAAAGGGCAAATAAGAGACAACAAAATAAGAGGATATGCCTTATCAAATATCAACAGGAACCAAGCCAGAGCTAAGTGCAGGGCAGAAATAGGCCAATGGAGCAGTGGAATGAATTCAATTCAGATATTGCATTACTTTATATAGTATTTTGAATATTGTATAAATTACCCTGTATAGTTAGGGGTGTTTCCTGTATGACAGAGGAAATGGCAGTTTGGTAAGGAAAGAACAGTTTAGGAATATTACTGTAACAATGGGGCATCCTTGTATAAGCAGAACTATCCCAAGTCTGTAATCCTAAAGTCTGAAATGCTTCAAAAGCTGAAACATTTCAGAAGTTCCACACTTCATTACATATGACAGGTCCTATTCCAGGCAGAAACAAAGCACAGGCAAACAAGACAGTTTTAACCTGGTCTGTTGTGTGAGATGAAGCATGTTAAAGCACATATGAAATATCACTACATGTTGTATACTGCATCTCTGGGAACCACACGACTTGACAAACGTGGAAGAAAGGCTGACTTTGCCCTGTGGATTCAGAGGGACTCAGTCCATCCTGGCTCCTGACACTAGAGCAAGGCTGGAGAGCTCCAGCTGAGGGCCAGGGTGTGACCTTCAAACACCCACTGCTAGTGACCTGCTTCCATAAGTCAGGCCCTGCTGAAGGGTCCACATTCTTTACATTGCCACGCACTAAGGAAGACACACTTAAGACACGAGCCGGTAGAAGACACTTCAGAGTCAAATGATAGCTTTCTGTGCTTTTGCTATTTCAAAGGAGATAATTTAAAAAATAGGACAAATCTGCGGGTATGAGTGTAAAGATTTGGTTATAGGGATATTAACTATGACCTCATCTTAAAGTCGCATGAAAACTGCAAAGCATTAAGCCTGCCATGTTAGCAAAGTGAACTATATCACCAGACGAAGACCCACAGAGCAGAACCTAGATTCTAGAAGTGATAGCACCAAACAGCATTCCTCAGCCTCTGAAAGTCAAGATGCATAAGCAAGTAGATGTTTATAATACATTATACACAGATGGTCCCATGATTTCAAGTAATTATGAACATTTACACATGCAAAGACTGGGAGAAATATACGTAGTGCTAACTAGGATTCTATTTACATGATGGTATTATTGGTGCCTCTGGGTTTTATTGTGTTTTATTTGTAGACTGATTCAGAGCAATGGGTATGGGCAATTATTTTGTGGAAATGAAAAGAAGACAGACCATTTAATTGGAAACAATAATGACAAAAGAGCCTAGAGATTTAAGAGTAGGGCAAGAATTAGAGTTTAAAAACATTTTTGGAAAACACCTGGAATCCTACCAATACCCACAAGCCCATCTGAATGTGACTTTTCTCTGCCAATGGCCACCCACCTGACTGTGTTTGTCTCTAGCATTTGCAGTTCTGGCATTGAAAATCAGATCCAGCTGTTGGCTTGGAGGTACACAAGGAGTGACACAAGGACAAATATGAGGAGATCCCCAAAGGACAAATCGCCCTTCACACTGGCCAGTCATCCTAACCTACTTGGAAAGTTCCAGGACAGTAGGAGACTTGTCTCAAAAAACCAAGGTTAGCAGCAAGTGAGGAACAGTAATTGAGATTGTCTTCTTCCCTCCACACTCACGTGCACATACAAGTGCACCTGCACACACATTCCTGTGGAAGCATGCACGTGCACACACAGAAAAAGAGACAGACAGACAGAATAGCCTGACTCTAATTGAAAGGAAGTGAAAAGTCCTACAACAGTGACAAAGAATAGACTGACCCTCACTCAAACCTCCTCTCTCTGCTTTGCTGCCTTTAACAGAGACCAAAACAGGAAAAATGAAATGCACTTGATACGTGTTAGCAAGGAGGTGGTCATTCCCATGACAAAGCAGTGGTACTCTGTGAGCAGTTTCAGGTGGAGTGGACAATAGGCCAGGAAACAGCAACCCCCATGCTAATGCCTGACTTCACAGTGGCTATGTGGCACAGGCCCACAGACAGCAATGGGCCAGGAGGAAGGACCCATTTATCAGCCTGGGTATTTTCAACAGGTGAAATGGTGTCATCTTTACACACCCACTATAACTCCTCAGGGTGGGATGTCCCAACTGGTAGGCTGTGTGCAAGGTTTTTCCCATATGAGAGGTCCTCTTGACTCTAGAGAGAGTGGCCTCACCTCTAGCTCAGCACCTCTAAAAGCAAAGCATGTCATACACTTATAGAATTAACAAAGGGCTTATGGCAAATAAGGAAAATAAGGCAATAAAAATAATGACATAAAGTAGAAGCGGTGTGATAAGTAACTATTACACTATGTGAAATAAGCAAGTGTTCCCATTCTTATCATGCCTTCTAGGACTTGCAAAATACCGGCAATCCGAAGACCACCACAGTTCATCTTCACAATAAATAAACCTAATGAGATAACAGGACAGGTGAGCAGGGGAGGGGCTGGTGACTTGAGACAGGAATTTTCAGTGGAGGCCTGCAACTATTAAGAGACATGCTGGAAAGCAGATGGGATAACCCATGGAAGCCAATGCATTTGGAAAGAGCTGGTTTAAATAAGACGTGTTGTTTCAGAACTGAGTAATACCTATTGTGCCTTCCACAAAGTAAAGGTAGTATGGGGTTACTGCAGGAAACTCTTTTAACTGGGTTCCTTCATCTGAGGAACGCACCTTACAAACCGCTACAGTGAAATGATCTTACTGCTATACCCATGTAGGAAAGGGTGGGCTATTCTTCCTCTTTGAAGGTGGGATAGAAAGCTATTCTGTCCCCACGTAACATGCCACCCTAGCCCATCAGAGAGTATGGGAGCCCACACTGGCTTAGTCCTTACAGGTGGCAAGGGGCAAGCCTGGTAGAGCTGAAGTAAAAGACTGAGGGGTTTAATCGCTCTGACTGAGCTCCGGCCTCTCTAAAATGACCCCACAGAACTTGGGGGCAGTCTGGAGATGGAGCTGTCAACATTTGGCCAGAGAATAAAATGTTTCTTCCTTTTCAGTGTGTTTTCTTTTACCGGAAGAAAGAAAACACAAGTGTTCAAAGAAGTAAACAGAAATCTGTAGAAAACCTTAAATATGGCATTTCCATGACTTTGGAAAATAAGCAAAGAATGAAGGTGCATTTTTGTGCATTGTCAGACACTTGTTAACATGGACCTGGGAGTCTTTTTAAGGCATTACACTGATTTTCTTAATACATAATGAAGGATAAACACTCAGTCTAAGGGGCTGTCCTGTGGGCTAAATTATAGTAAGGACCAAGCTGACTAAAAACACAGGATAAAGGATTAAATAGCCTCCCTTGCTTTTATTCCAGGTGTCTTTCTATATCACAGCAATGTAAACTTCAGCCAGATGAACAAAATTCAGATGAAGACTCCATGCCAAAAGAAATAGAACTTCATATTTGTTTCCACGGTCTACTTCTACTTGGAAGGTTTCTTTCCTCACAAGAAATGTGTGTCAAAGGATAGAAAAGTGGCTTTCTGTTTGGGGCTACAACCAGAAATCAAAAGACAACGGGGGGGGGGGACCTCAGCTCAGCTTTTCTAGATTGGAAATAATGTGTGAATTTTGCTGTTTCTCCAGTGTGTCAGACTGGTTCTGACGTAACACTTAATTCAGGCTCCCAGTGAATCACTATTTCTTTGTGGGATACTAACACTGATGCAAAATTTCTCCATGTGAGGAATGGGAAATAATTGAAACACGACAAAGACTCCAAGGTTGGTAAATAAAATAATTTTGTCTGAACTCCACTAATTCCCCCCAACCTGTGAGAGGTCCTATGGGCTACAGCAATGCATCAGTTAGCTAGCCCCTTCAGGTGCCTCATGAAAAACAAACAAAAACTGACGTTGCTGTCTGAGACTTCCTGTGTGATTTGTCTAACACTTTGCATTCATGACGGTTTTGCCCTTCTTTAATAAATGACCCAAAATTTCCTTCAGATGTTCCAGAAAACTTTTTAGTTGGCTGGAAGAAAATGTAAGCGCTAATAAGTTCACTGCACGGATGTCCAAGGCATCCATTTGAATGAACCTACTGTGCCAGGCAAGTTGGTGTCTCTAGACTTCCCATTCCAACGATGAACAGCATTGATGACTTTCTACAAAGTGCATCCTGTAAAACTTTTATCTACAAAGGTTGTATACCAGGCTTGTCTTATGAAGGTCCAGAATAAAGGCAGGTGTGAGCAACAACATCCCATGCCTTCATGGAATTCAGTCTGTACCAGGAAGACAGACATCAAGCTAGAAATCATCAATAAGACTTGAGGAGCATATGGAGAGAATTAACCACTGCTATGGGTTTAACCTAGGCATCTGAAAGCTCCCCCTCTCCTCCCTGAAGAAGTGGAGACCGCTGAAAGATACTCAAGACAATGCCAAGACAAGAGGAGGCATGCCCCACAGGTCATCAAAAATGGCAGAGGGAGGCATTTCTTTCTGTCATTCATACTGCAGTCTCTATGCATGTTGCTTTTAGTTTCTCAACCCATGGGCTGCACATTTCAATCCTGTTTTCATTCCTCTTACTATGCTTTTGAAAAAATGATATAAAAATGAAAACTGCTCTTGAACACACTGTGCCAAATCCACAGGACACCTTAACATCTGTCAACACTTGAATACAATGGGTTCTGGTCATTTAGATGGCTGGTCAATGACTTAACATAGGATTCAGAGCCAGGTAGGAGATGTTCAAATATCAGGTTCCCACCACTTTACTGGGGTTTCTCCCATTCTGATCTGTGTTTCATCAACAGGACTGGCAGGGGGTTATTTCCATTAAAAACACTGCCCAGGAGGAGTAAAATAAATATGAATTAATTAATAATTACTCCGGGCTCCTCCAGCTGTTTTAAGTTGGACTCTCAGAAGATGTGAGTTGGGTATTTGAATTTTATCAGTCTACCCAGGTTTCTGAGACTTTCTGAACTTCAGGCAGCCTCCATGCACTGATGAGAGAGACTAAGTAGCAGGCAGAAACAGACAGCTGCTAATACAGCTCTCTGCGTCCCAGTTACCCTCTTGGGTTGGTCTTCTTGCCTGATGAAACACTACAAGGCAGAGGGCTTATGGTTCTCAACTGCAGATCATTTAAGATCATTTAGCCTCACACTTGAGCAAGCTCTCTGGGCAGGGTACAGAGAGCCACTACTGACTCAAGCTTCAGCTGAGATGTGAAAATGGAGACTTTTTCAGAGGAAGTAAGATAAGGCAGAACTTACAAAAACAAACATCCTGAGGCCGCTGTGCCAAAGGCCACTGGCAAAATCTATAGCCTAACGCTAAGTGAGTTAAACAAACACATTACCCGGCCATCCAGGAAACCTGAAGCAGATGCCTGGAAGTAGGATGTGTGTTTGCAACCTGGGAAGAAATATCCCGAGGAGTGATGATATGGAATGAGGCACAAAGTGCACAGACGAAGACCAAAGGGAACCTCCTGCATGCAGTATACCCAAGATGGGCAGGTGGTCCTTCAGTCCTGTGGCTCAGAGCAACTATAGGCCTGGAGGGAGAATTGTGTCCTACTGTTAGAGCTGTTAGGGCTGGGCCTAGGCAACCCTAACAAGCTAGGCTCAGCCCCGGTGGGTTAAAGACACCGTAATGAAAATCAGAGGAAGGGGGTTTCTTCAACGCAACCACATTGTGCAGAGAAGCAAAGAGGTCCAGTGGCTCTCCCACCACCAGCAAGTTGATCTTGGGATCCTGACGTGAGATTTGGGTCTAAAGTGAAGTCTAGAGGTATGCACAACCAATAAGGGCTGGTCAAGGTGTGGTCCTGCCCATCACTGACCCACTGGTGTCTCAGCTTCAGTCCCTCTTGCAAGGCGGCCTGACCAGCACTCAGCTGCATGGAATCTCTTTCCAGAACACAAGCCTCTCTCCTGGCTGGCAAGAGGTTTCTGCACTTCCTCTTCTCAACATGGGACTTTTGGGGAAATTCTAGTTCCTTGGGGATTGTTGTTTCAATAGTCAGGGAGGCAAAGCCAAGGCAAAGGTGTCCCTTTAGAATGTCTTCAGTCCTGCCAGGATACTTACACAATCTAATGTAAAGTTGTGTGCCTTTCTTTCTCCTGGAAATGCCTGGTGGCAGTTACAAAGAAAGCAAGGATAATGGAGACCGAGTGGCTCTAGCTAGCGCTTGGAGCTTTGAAATGCTAAAAAGATTGTGGTACTGTCTACCCATCCATTATATCACGTGAAATAACAGTTCTGATTCAAAATAGGAATGAAGGCAGTGTCCTCCAAACACCCTCAGAAATGTTCCAAATTTTCTTGTGATATGGATTGATGTTTGGAGGAAACATAAAATACCAATTTCTGACACACACACACACACACACACACCAAACAAACAAACAAATAAAACAAAAACCAACAACAACAACAAAAAACCAAACCAGAGGATTTGAAGTGCTGTATTGGCACCCTTCCCAAACTTTATCTGGCAAAATGATGTTCAGTAACATGCTTAGAAATAGCTCAGCATAGAAAACATAGTGGTCCAGAGAAGTTGGCTGTTACTTTAGTAATAATAGAAGGCTTCCAGCCATTCACTATGGTTTCCTTTGCTTTAAAAGGATGCTAACACTGAACATGGGATGAAGGGAGGGATAAGTGGATGGATGTGTACCTCGGGCCTTTCCTCTGTGGACTGTTTTTTTGGTAATGCTTTAGCACTTAGGCATTGTTAGACCTGGTCCTACAGCAGTGAGGGAGTTTCCCCCAGCCTCCCGCGTGGGCTCATCTCAGAGTCTGCAGCCTGTCCTCTGACATGCTCTCCCCTGGAGCTCCTTCCTTCTCTCACTCTCTCCCTTTCGCATGATGACATTTAATTAACTATCATTTTTGCTTGCTTTTAATTAAGGAAACACTGTTTGCACTCTTCTTGGAATCATTCACTGAATGCCATCTAGACTCTTGACATTTATTTAGGAAATAGCATTTTGCAGAGTTTTTATAGCATGAATATTAGATGATATGGATAATTCAAAACCCCGTGCAGAAACAGGCTCATACTCCCCTCCTGCATATTCTACAACAGTAATGCCAGTCTTGAAATCTCAGCTGTACTTTGGGTTTACACAGTGATTGAGAAATTTTGGGAGTATTTTAAGCTAGCCACCCAAACTTTGCTCTATTTTGTGAAATGAAATATATGTTTTTTTAACAACAGCAACAAAAAGACCAGGGATATAGCTTTTGGTACTCTTCAGTTAGGTATTACTTTAAAGAAAACATATGATGCCACATGCCCATGATATATTCTAAGCTCTAGAGCCTTCGCTCCCTGAACCCTCTGATGACAGTGGAATTCTGGAGGGTACTGTGTTGGTGAAATAAGATGAATCTGCAGCTCAGAAAATTTAAAATATGAAAAAATGTATCTTTGACTAGGGAACTCGTGGGCTATTCAGGGTGGGAGTTATTTCAAGACTCTGGCTTTAAGTTGGGCTGAAATCCCAGTTCTGCTACAGATTAGGCAGGAGCAAGCCACTGAACCTTCCAGTGCCTCTGTTTTCACCTTTATGTCAAGATAGTGGGAACTCTTTTACTCTTTCACGAGGCATCAAGTAATACTCTTCTAAGGTCTGGACTAAAGACTGAAAACGTGTGACTGTGTGTACACCTAGGGATCAGGTGATGAAGTAAACACAGTGCCCAGCCCTGCCCACCACTTCCTGAATTGTAAGGTGAGGCAGCAATGCTTGTCTCCATCATGTGAGTGTGGCCTGGGTGCTTGGTCCTCAGAACCCCAGCCAGGGTTCCTCCGCACCTCTCCTTGCTTAATATTTCACAAAACTAGCTTCATAGACATTTCCAAAAACCTTGCCTCTGTTCGTTTGAATCTAGTCACTAGAGGCATGGTAAAATGCTTGTTGTCCCAAGATATGAAGAAAAACCCTTGAAAATAACCTTTAAAAAGAGGAAACTACTATGTTCTTCAAATGCACCAGAATTATAGACTAAATGGAAATGAGGTTAGAACATTCTTTGGTCTTCATCTAAGCCAGAAGAGAAACAATGTCACCAACAAGTCATTATTTAGCAATGTTGTTATGCAGAATAAAGACCTGTTGAATTCTGCCCTTAGATACCTCACTGCAACCACCACAGCTTTTAAATATACTTAGTCTAACTCGGTGTGCTAAGCCAAGGTTATTCACATCAGAGCAGGAATACTATTGGATACACTACCCGTGCCTTGCAGACTTGTTCGTGACTTTGACATCATCCAAGAGCGTTTTCCATGGAGTTTAAAGCCAGAGTGAAGAATGTAGAACCCTCCAAGGCCATTGACCAGTATGTGACTGTCCCCATTGGCAAGGGTGGGGCGGACAGAACTAAATGGAGTTGCAGCCTACATTCCATCTCCTTTCTGTTTTACTGCTGAGAGGGTTGTGATTGAAATTCACAATCAACTGGTGCTCATCTTGGCCTGTATAGATCTTCAATTCATCCATTCCCTGGCCTTCATTCATATCACTTCAGAGTTTGTAGTGAATAATTAAAATCATTTTTTAAGTGGGGGACTGGAGAGATGGCTCAGCTGTTAAAGGCTAGGGTCATAACAACAACAAAAAAGGAAGTAATCGAGTGGTGGTGGTGCAAGCCTTTAATCCCAACATTCGGGAGGCAGAGGCAGTCGTATCTCTCTGAGTTCAAGACCAGCCTAGTCTACAAGGCAATGCTTCACAGAGAAACCTTGCCTGGAAAAACCAACTACCCTCCCCAAGGAAGTACTTATCTATGTTTTAATTCCAGATCTGCCACCTCCTAGCTATGTAAATTTAGGTTACCTTACTGCTGCATGGGAATAATGATCTATAAGAGTGTTTGAATCCTTGAAGTAAATTAGTTAATGTGGCATTAAGTATTTCAAGGATTAAATTAATTAAACTATCTAAAATGATCAGCATGCTACATAGGATGAATCTAATAAATTATGCTATGCTTATTTTTCAAACATATGCATTTAAAAATAATCTTATTATTACATTCTGAATATTTGGATAAGTATACATAAGAAAGCATAAGAAGCACCTGTTTTTCAGCCTACACTTCAGTGGCATAAGGGCACTGTGGTTATAGAGCCCTAACCACTATTAATCTCTGGAACATTTTAATTATCCCAAACCAAAACTTCAAACCCATTGGAAATAACTGTGCTCTCCCTTGAGCTCAGTTTTGGGGATAGCTTCTAGTCCTAGAAATTTGTCTATTCTAGGCCCTCTGTAAAAGCAGAGTCACACAGTGACTGTCCTTTGTGTCAAGCTTATTTCATGTGGAAAGATTTATTTTAGGTGTTTTAGGTTCAGGTCCACTACTCGGCTTTGGTGTCTGCAGTGAAGCCGTGCATTGAGGTTGAAGTGCATGGTGGATGGGCACTGCTCGCCTGCTGACAGCTAGGAAGAAAAAGAGAGATGAAGAGGTGAGGGTCCCGGTACTCCTTTCAAAAGCTCTCCCCAGTGACCTTCACACTAGACTCTATTTCTTAACAGTCCTACTGCCTCCTAATGCATCACAGACTGGCAGACAAGCCTTCCACACGTTACCCTGTGGGGAACACATTCAAATAGCCAGGAGTGATAGCACCACTACATTTTGAATCAAATAACTTCTCATTGGGGGAGTGGGCTGCCATGTGCAATTTGGGACATTCAGCCACATCTCTGGTCTATACCTACATTTCCTTCTCTTTCTTGACAATAAAAAATTGTCTAGACATTCACCCTCCAAGACTCCTAGTTGCCTCAGACTAAGAACCACTGTTCCCTAGAACATGCATGCTTGCATGAACTGTAAAAGGCTCACCATGGAGGACAGAAAGTTCCATCTTAGATATTCCCATGTTGTTTCTACCTTACACTAAGGAGATATTTTCAACATTCTTCTAGGAAAACTAGAGAGGCAACCAAAAGTTTCCTACAGTGGCATGTGGCTTGCTGTTAGTGTCTAGATTAGCCATACTTGACTAAATCGGCATCAGGAACAATGACAAATGCAGAGATAAAAATGAACAAAAGTAAATGCAAATGAGAGTGGACTTGGATGCTGCTGCTGCAAACATTTAAAAATTTTGTCAAAAATTGCATAAAATTATATACAACTCTACACACACACACACATTGAAGGATTGCTTTCTCAGTGAGACAGCAAAAACTTGCAGCACATAAGCCCATTGAACAGCAGTTTCTTTTGTTTTTCTCCGTTGGGAACAGAAAATGTCACTGAGAGCCTAGAGCATGGCATCTGAGGAGAACTTTATCTAGCTATTTGCTGTGGCTGTTAATTAAATAAGATGCCTAAATCTAGACCAGTGAGATGGCTTGAGAGGTAAAGGAGATGCTGCCAAGCCTGACAACTTGAGCTGGGCCCCCAGGACCCACATGGTGGGACTCATTCATGAAAATTGTCCTCTGATACACACACACACACACACACACACACACACACACACACATGCATACACAGTGTGGGGAGGGGATGGGTGAAGGAGAGAGAGAGAGGGAAGGAGGGAAAAGAGGAGGAGGATGGAGAGAAATGCAATTGTAAAGATGAAAGATGTTCAAATCTTTCGGATATTCAGCCACATCTCTGGTCTATACCTACATTTCCTTCCCTTCATTGACAATAAAAAATTGTCTAGACATTGCATTCATGTTTCAGTGATCTGAGGGATATGAACTATGCCACAATCAGCACTTTGATCACACCCTTCCCTAAGAGCCTGCCAAGAACTCTGATGCTTAATTAAACCTTCAAATTGCATTTGTTTTGAGACAGATCTCACAATGAAGCCATTGGCTGACCTGGAACTCTGCTATGTAGACCAGGCTAGGTTCAAACTCTGAGATCGGCCTGCCTTGCCCCCTGAGTACTGCAGCAAAAAAGGAACAAGCCATCATACCCAACTAAGCATTTGGATTTGAAGAAGGAAGCATAAACATGGAGTAAAGTGTCACTCCATGTCAGCTAGACCAGAAGTGACAGAGCAAGTGAAGAAGAAGGTTAGGATTCCTTTGTTAATATTATTTCCATCTCTCTTGTGACTTCTATCTTCTGTCTCACCCCACCCCCACTCTGCTTCCCTTAGCTTAATGCTGGGGATTAGGTCCACACAGCATTAAGCTTTTAACAGATGCTCAGTCAATGCAGCCTAATGAAAGACCCAAGACACAATTAAGGGGAAAATATTATATTAACTTTGTGTGTGCATGTGTGTGTGCAAGCGTATGTGGGGGGGTGCATAATCACATGTGTACACATGCATGTGGAGACCAGAGGACAGCTTTGCATGTTATTTCTCTGCTGTCATTCATGTCCACCCCTTAGTTCCTTTTCTGGGGAAGGATTTCTCATTGGCTTGGAGCTAACTTATGGTGATCAGCCTATGTTGGCCTCATCAGTATTGGAATATCCAGGCTACCACATCTAAGTTATCTCTTCAGCCCTAAACAAATTTATTATTGAGTATATTATTTGCATTGGAAGAATATGATAACTGTGATTTCTTTTATTTGCAGAATTTCTTACATGAGTACTGTGTTTACATCATTTCTTCCCCCTCTTACACCTCCCATCCACCCATTCCCTCCCAAATCCACAAACTCTTCCTCTTTAGCTATTGTTACATGTGTATTCATATATATGTATACATGTATAGTCATTTTAGTCTATCTAGTATTAATCATATGACCACTTGGGATTGCATTGATATCAGGAAGCTTGTGCCTGGAGAAAACAGTTTCTCCATTTCCCAGTAGTCACTGATTCCTTGAAACTCTTCTTCTAGGTGTGGGACCTTGTGAATTTTCCCCTGTCCATGTTAGCATGTCTGCTAGTGTCTAGGCAGCCATATTATTGGGATTTCATGGATGTAGCAGGCATCTTTATCATTTGATCCTACAGTCAGTCATTCTTCCCCTTCTTTCACAAATTCCCTTGACATTTAGGTATGGAGTTGCACTGTAGATGTGTTAACTGGGCTTGGGAGTTGCATTGTAGATGTGTCAACTGGGGTTGGGTTGCATTGTAGATGTTTCAATTGGGGCTGGGCACCCCAAAGTGATTTATTTACTGCATTTTGTCCAGTTATGGGTCTCTATAGTAGCCTCTCTTTCAAAAATAATCTTCTTTGATGAGGTTGAGAGTCACATGCATTTGTGACTGAGTATTTAGAACACAGTCAGAAGTTATGCTGCTCTAGGAAATTAGCCATAGAAGGTTCTCCTTTAGGGACTATGACCTCTCTAGTCATGATTAGTTGACAATGTTTACAGTATCAGGCATAACTTCCTTCCTGTTGAAGGGACATTCAGTCCAATTAGACAACATTTAGTATGCACACATGTGCTTTTACATGTACACATGTGTTTGTATATGTATATACATGCATGTATATATTTAAGTATGTTTATAAAATAACATTTCCCTATGAGTTTTCCAAATATACTTTGTGTTACTTACCCCCTTCCCTCCAAACCCCTCCTCAGTTAGCCCTCCTCATTTTTCCCATCCACCTATGTTCTACAATCCCTCTTCCCTGCTTACCCCATGGTCCCTTTATACTTTACTGGTTTGGGGGGTTATTTCTGGTTAAATATCCAAATCCAAAGACTCAGAGCTAGGATCCACAAATGACAAATGACAAATGGTGTTTGTCTTTCTAGGTCTGGGTTACCTTAATGCTTTAAAGAAGCAACTGGCTTCATCTGAAATTTATAGCCACGGATCTCAAAAGGGGGTTCAGTAGCACTCGTCAAGACCATGGAGTCAATATGGAACTTTGAATGCCCCACTTTCTCCAGAACAGCTAATCCATGGATGAACCTAGGCAATCTCACAGGTATCTATGGAGGATAGTGAAATACTTAAAAGACAAATCAGTCCAACATATCTGTCAATGTTTCCATGTGGTACATGATATCTACAAACAGTGGAACATATGAGAGCCAGTCCAAACTCTCCAAAAGAGCTTTTTGATGGAGGAGCTTAACCCTTCTAACATGGTCACTAAGCAACAGATGCCATGTCTCCCTTTATATTCATATATTCTATGAACACAAGCACAGAATAATCAAAAACTCACTATAGTTGATACTGCCTGCCTTCTCCATTAAATGGCATCTGGTCCAAAGCCAAGAGCATCTCCTAACACCTCTCTGTCAGAGGTGCCCACTATCATGATGACCTTCAGTGTCACATGCAAACACTGGCCCAAACCCAGATATTCAAATATTTTGCACAGGGTATAATCACAGACAGAGATACTTTGGATTCTTGTGGCCTTAAACAATTCACAAACTTTAAGATTTCCTTCCAGCCTGCCTGTAATTTACCAAGCATACTTAATGGAATCCATGCTACACGGATTCAAACACTTCACATTCATGTCAGTTTGGACAGAGTTCCAAAAGAGTTCAGCCAATGAAAAAGGAACAGATGAAGAAATACACTCTGCTTTTGTTTCTTGCCGGTCTCACTTTTTAAATATTGCTAACTTATACCCTGCCTTCCCCCACTCTTTCTCTTTCATCTCTTCCTCCAAATGGAGTATATGCATTACAGTTGAGATAGGATTCTGAAAAGCAAGTCAGACCTCGTTGTCTCCTTGCTTAAAACTCTCCAGTGACATTCCATTGTCTGGGATCATTTAGTCCATGCTGATCCTACATACCCTCAATGATATCCTGAATGATTTCTACAGGGCTCTAGCCAAAAATCTCCAAGTGGCTCCAACCCTTCTCTGTCCTTGTTCCTCATGAGAAGTTAGTGTAGTCCATGTATGGACTTGTATGGATGTAGAGAACACAGGCTGCCTCTCACTCTTGACTAGTATAGCCACTTACTATTTATCTTATTTGCAGCTGTTTCAGTTTAAAGAAACTTGTTTATGAATTGGTCTTACTAATGAATTTCAAAATCTCCCCATCGTACTGTAGAGCAAATTTCTAACCCACGAAGTCAACACATTAGCTCTTGATTTAATGAATAAATATATATCAGAAAGGATAGTAGCTGAGATCAAACTTAAACCCACTAACAATTATATGCCCATTTTCTTCTTTTGTGTCTTCTTGCCCCAAGAGGGCATAGAAGACACAGGAATTCTCATTTTTTGAAATGACAAAGCAAAGGCAACCTCAAATAGGCTCACTGCCTATGTTTTATTTACATGTATATCAATCCCTGTGTGTGTTAAAAAGTCTAATCTTAATTCACTTACAGTTGGTAAAAACTATTTATTTCATCAAATTATCATCATTTAACAAGAAAATCAAAACCTCCTTTCACTGCCATAGGAAGTCATAGTTTCTCAAGATAACATGACCTTGTACCCAGAGAGGTTTGAATTCTATTGCAACCTCAAAAACCACAAAAATGGGAGAAATTTGAGAAGTTAAATATGTTCTTGAGCCTCTGGTATGGCCCTAAGAATTTTTGTGTTGTGTATTTATCCATTTTACCCTCACCATAGTTCTTGGAACAGGCACATGACATAACATGGAGGTTTCAAAGATGGTTTTCACAGCAACCCTTTTTGGCTTTTTGAGTTTCTAGTGTAATCTTTGAAAACAGCTGGGTCAAATTCCATCATGTGTGAGACTCACACAACCCTGCCCTGTATGATGTTCAGTGTGAGGACAAAGGAAGTTCAGGGAGAAACACTGAGCAAGCTGTGATGTGGCCAAATGATTACAGCTGCTTTGACAATAGATGCCCAGATGCAGATTTTATTGCTGGCTGTGTTTTATTCATTGTTTTAAACTTTTAAGCAATTTATAGACCTCTATGGTTTTATATTTTTTTTCTTAAAGCTGGGAGAAAATGTTTAACTTTCCTGAATGTATTTCTGTCTACAAAAATATACCTTGGGTATTCATGAGAAATATATATTCATAACCATGTCAGTCCCATAAAAATGAGATACAGTATAATTTGATGAAATAACCTGGCAGTCTTGGACTCTGAATGAGTGTAACTCATTAGTAATATAGCATAACTAAAGAGAAAGGTAGCCCTAAGCCTCAGGATGTATTTTTGCTATTTCATTTATACATTAAATTGACTTGACCTGAATGTACTCATCTAGAAAGCAGAAATAAACAATAGAAGGTGACACATTAGAGGCTTTGGAAAGGCTCAAGTAAGTTCATATAGGTAAAATGCTCGGCACTGTACCTTGCCTGTGCCATGTTTGTAAAATTCAAGAGAGAGGTGTTTACTATACTCCCAGAGAAAATATAATTGATATAATTGCCTTGGAAAATTGTACAAAAATGTGTATTGAGTTTTAACCTTGGTATATCTCAAGAAAGACCTAGCAGTTTCACTTCTCTGAATTTACATAACAGAAAAACACTTGTAACTAAGGAGGTGAGATAAATACCCAGGGAATTGTGGTTTGTAATATACAGGAAGCAATGAGTTGTTTAACTTTTATTTCTATAAGAAATACTCTTAAATAATTCAGGAGAGTCATGTTCTGTCCTGGTTTAATTGATCAACCTTCGTTTCATCTTCCACCTCTGTTATTCCCCAGTCTCTGGAAACTTCCTCTAGGTCCTTTCAGTCAATCTGCTGAACAGGGCAGAAGAAGGGATGCTAGAGCCTTCATTAGTATTTGATAGACCAGGCCAGGAAGTGTCACCTGTCTCTTCCCGCCACAATCCATTGAACAGAATGCGGGAACTTGGCCGCATCCAATCACAATGTAGTTTATACACAGGTTTAGGGCGAAAGAAGAACAGAAAATCTTCAAATTCTGACATAAACCATTCCAAAATTAAAAGCTATATCTGCATTTCTTAATGAACAGGCCTTACAAGGCACTCTACTGAGTGAAAAAAACCAACAAGTGACCCAGAGGACAGCTACCTTAAAGAGTGGATTACAAGATGAAATTGTTTGGCATGTTTGTTAGGACTGTTCTTAAGGTCGACATCTGAAGAGGCAGGATTGGGCAGCGGACAAGAGCTGTGCTATAGAACCAGGAGTAGGCTCAGTCACCCCACAAGCTGTGACAACTTGGACCATCTCAGGAGGTATGTGTAAGATGGTAACGAACTTGAAGAGCTAGTGCATGGACATCAGCTGAAAGTGGGTCAGTCTTTGGATGTGCTTGATTCCAGGAGGAGGCGTAGGCAGCTCTGGGTGTCTCTCTGCACAACTGAGAACACCTGTTGGCAACACTTGCAGCTAAGGCAATGAGTTGGTCACTGTGGCTGCGTGTGCACACTGCTGTGCTTCGGGGGAAATCAATTACTACCACAAAGGAAAAGAACATAGTCATTTTCCCTGTCTAAATTTCTATGCAAACATTAAAATCTGACATTTTGGTGTAATAAGCAAGGGTCTAGATGGCAGAGTTCCTGTTGAAAAAACTGATCGAAAATTTCACAAAAAAAAATCAAAAAGAAATGTCCACCATCTCTATATTTTTTAATGTTTTAAAACAAAACTGTATTTATTTTTCACTGATACATAGGGATTTAATGAATTGTATTTGAGAAGTGTTTGTTGTGAATGTACATATGATCAAAATACTGATATAAAAATAATATGAATATGTTAATTTATATTTTACATACATAAAAATAGCTTGTACTTTTCAAGGCTTTGGCCAACTTTTCTTCCTCCTACCTCCCACAGCTTTTGGTTACTTCATGGCTTCTTAATTCTCCATCAAAGGGTGAAGGGAGCTGGCTAAGAGATATTGGGTGTGGGGAGGAGAGGACGAAAACTAGAGCCAACGAGTCTCAGTCCTTGCAGCAACTCTGCTAAATAGGTTTAGCTATGGGAAATGTTGAAAAGAAGTTACCATGATTAGCTTCCCTTGTTAGCCATACTTGATACAACTCCTCCTATTAGGTAGCCTCATGGGAATTGTACATAATTACATTTGCAGTCAGTGACTGAAACACGCCTGTCTTCCATGACTATGTGCCTCCTCTAATTAGACTATTTTTTAAAAATTTCAAATAGCAGTTTAACAGGACTGTTTGATTAAAGAGACATTTTGTATTTTCACCTGCTGCCATGACATTTTTCTTGATGTCATGGTTAATCTATACAGATCAAAAACTCTCCTTGAGTTTGAGATGGAATTTTATCATTTATTTTCCTCTGGTTTATTTGGAATATCTGAGTGGCCAAGATGCAGAGTAGATAATAATTTAATATTGAAATAGATATTGGCAGACTAAAATGAAATTAAGTATCTTTGCAATTAAGTATCATTCTGACCTTAGAATTCTTTGCAATGGTTGATCCTCTCAGTTTTAATTAAGCAATCCTATCCAACCCAAGGAAGAATGATTTCTGTGTTTGTTCATGTGTACGTGGTATGTGTGTGTGTGTATAATAAATAAAATTCAAAGAACTGGAGTTCTCATCATACTGACAGTTAATTTAAAGCAAATCCAACACTTTGTTTAGCTTAGTTTTTCCAGCTATAAAATGAATGTATGAGGGAAACATCCACATAATCCTACACATTTTTGTGTTTGTGATTTTTACTTCAATATTAATATCAATAAGCTTACTATAGAAAAGCATGATTGGTATGAATCAGAACTGGATCTTACTCTGCTTTAGAAAATTAAGTGCTTTCCAAAAGATCCCACTTTCTCATTTTGTGTCTTTGTTTGTTTTTCAGGTCAAAACGATAGGCGAATAACATAATGACTGGGATATAGCGAATCCACAAGAAGGAGCTAACCTCAAGTCTCAGTCATGCCTCTCATAAGACCTACTCTGCTTTTCTCCTTCTCTAAGGAAAAACACACATTGTAAAATTAGAATGCTTCAAAGACAACTTGGAGCCATCTGGGGATTCTAAAGGTTGAAAATTCCATGATTCACACTAGTCTTCACTAATTCCACCAATCCTAAGTCAAAAGAGAGAGCCAAGTGTGCCCAAACACATTTTTGAGGATTTCTTCCATTCTCTCCTTGCAGCCTCTCTGGGGGTAGCTGTGCCTGTGAAAAGCATTGAGAATCTCAGAAGGAGAGTCACCTTTCAGGACGGGAAAGTCAGAACAGACTATTTTTCTTATACCAGAGGGCTTAAGGGGAAAATATTCCAGCTCTTCTTGAAGCTGAGCAGGGGTAGGGACACTGATAACTGATACAGATAATGGACACTGACACTTTGAAGAAATAACTACCGAGAGATGAAAAATAAAAATAAAAGTAAAGCAAAAAAGTGAACGTAAAGCTGAATAGAAGAAGTACCCACCCAACTAAGCTGTTGGCCAGCAATGATACATTGCACTCTAGAAAGATTGGAGGTTATGGGGTTGCAGTACATTGTGGGCACTTTCTTGTAAAAAAGTGAGCCCTTCCTCCAAACATTACAACTACTGCATATAAGTATAAGAAATGGCTTCAGAAGGAAGCATGAAGTAACTTAGGGTATTTCCAGTGGGTTATACTGAGATGGTTATGAAATTATTTGTAGAGAAATCGTTACCCTTGCAAGTGTTTAGGGATAATATGTGAATAACCAGGAGGTATCTTTGGTTGTCACTAAGCCATTAGATAATATGAAACTGGACATGGGACCAAAGAAATACTGACCACTAGAATGCAAACTCCAAAAAAATCAAAAGATTGTGTGTGTGTGTGTGTGTGTGTGTGCGTGCGTGTTTTATTTGCTGTTTCAATACCAGCTCTGAGGAAATGCTTATTATTAGTAAGTCCTTCGTGAGAAAGATTCTTGACTGGGCATTTTCCTATGCTCATTCTGAATGAAGTGTTAATGGCTCTGAAGGTACAAATAAAAAGTAACAATTCCATTTTGTATCACATTGCTCACCTTGGTTCTCCATTCTGTGAGTGTGAGAGCTGTTTCAGCATGGCCAAGTGTAGAAAGATGGTCCCAGTGAACATAAGAGCACACCATTTGTTCAAACATATCTGTTTCTTTGTTAATTTTAATGTTTTCTGGGAAAACCAAATTGCTCTTTTGATTCCCATTAGGATAATATTGAAGAATTTGCTTTTCAAATAAGTTTTGTTATGAGTCAGTGAACTAAGATATTTTAATTATAATTCAAATGAAACACACATATTAACAAATCAACAAAAAAAATTTCTATCTGAGAAAGAGTCATCCCTATTGGTGTTCCTCAAACCCAATTGTGACTAACATTTTCAAAGGTGCTGGGTTAGCTCCAAAAATGCATTTCATTCAACTGGAGGCCCTTTTGGTAATGCATATCCTTCTTTGTGCATTCAAGAAACATCCTTGCTCTGTTCCTCACCATAGACACAAACTTACACTGAAGAACTCACCTATGGTAAACAATTGGAAAAATGCACAGGAAGCCTGCAACAGCAATTTGTTATCACAGACCTCGATTATCCTGAATGGAACCCAAACAGCATAATACGCTCTTTCCAAACATCAATGCCATAAAAATGAAACACGTATTGAAAACTATCAGTTTTACTCTTACCATACACAGCATACACTACAAACAAATCATAAAACCCCAAACTATAAAACTTTATGAACTTGAGCAGGAAAGACATCTGAGGACCCAAACTAATAAAAATAGATTTAATGGCTGGTTAAAGTACATGCTTCACAAACACAAGGGCAGGAGTTCAGATGCCAAGAACCCACGTATTTCGAGAGATGGCTCGGAGGCTAAAAGCACTGACTGGTCTTGCAGATGACTTGGGTTCAGTTCCCAGCACCCACATTGTGGCTCACAAAAACCTATCTAAATATCAAGTGAGTATGGCAGCCACCTTTAATTCCAGACTTAGAAGGCAGCATAGGGGTCCCAGAGAAAGCTTGTTAGAGAAATTAGCCATGTGAGGCAAGCTTGGAGATTGACTGAGACCCTAATGTTCAACATCGTTAGCCATGAAGGATCATGAGTCAAAACTACCTGGGTTGTTTCCAGTTTCTGTTTTCATGTATCTGCTGCTGCTAAACAGGCAGTCTACTGATTTCTGTGTGCCAACTTCACATATTCTATTTTGCAGAGTGTATTTAACAGCTGAAGGAAATTTCTGGTGAAGTCTTTAGGGTTTTTATTTATAGACCTGTATCCTCTGCAAATAAGGATATATTGATTTCTTACTTGTATCCCTCTCTCTCCCTCACTTGTCTTCTCTTTCTAGCTAAGACTTTAAACACTGTATTAGCTAAAAGGAGAGGAAAGAGTGGACATCCTTTTCTTGTTTTTGATTTTAATGGAAATTCTTTGAGGTCTTTCTCCATGATGTTGGCTGGGGCTTTTGTATACTGTCTTTATTGTGTTGAGATATGTCTTCTGTATTCCCATTATCCCCAGGATTTTTATTATAAAGAGATTGTGAATTTTGTCAAAGGCTATTTCTGCATCTAATGAGATGATCATATGGATTATACCCTTCAGTCTATTTATGTGGTGGATCACATTTGTTGATTTACATATGATGGGTCAGGCCAGCATCTCTGGGATGAAGCCATTTTGCTCATGTACATGATATTTTTAAGTGTGTTCTTAAGTTAGGTTTGTAAGAATTTTATTTTTCATCTATGTTCATCAGAAAGGTTAACATATAATTTTCTTTACCCCCTTTTTTCCTTTATACAATTTTTGTTTCAGGGTAATATTGGTTTTATAAAAATAATTTTGAAGTATTCCTTTATTTTCTATTTTACAGAAAATTCTGAGGATTCCTAGTTTAGGTTTTTGAAGATCTAGGACAATTCTGCACTGAATCCATTTGGTTATAGACTCATTTTAATAGTGGCAGTTCTAAATACTACTACTGTATCATTGGTCTTTATGGGTTTTGTTAAATTATTAACTTCATATACACTTAAGTACATACATATGGAAATTCATCTACTTCTTTTAGATTTTCCAGTTTAGTTGAATATAGATTTTGAAAGTGTGTTCTTAGGATTCTCTTAATTTCCTCAGTGTCTGTTACAGTGCCTCCTTTATCATCTCCAATTTTATTCATTTGAATCTTCTTTCTCCTTTTTAAAAATTTGGATAGAAGTCTGCCAATGTTTTCTGTTAATTTATTTATTTTTATTTTATTTGCATTGTCATTTTGCCTGAATGTATATCTATGTGAGGGTATCAGATCTTAGAGTCGGAGACAGTTGTTAGTTGCCAAGCAAGTGCTGGGAACCGAACCCAAGTTCTCTGAAAGAGCAGTCAGTGCTCTTAACCACTGATCCATCTCTCCAGCCTATCTGCCCATATTCTTAATCTTTCCAAAGAGCTAATTCTTTATTTCATTGATTTTTGTATTGTTTTTCCAATTCTACTTCATTAATTTAAGCCTTAGTTTTAATTATCTCTTTCCATCTGTGGTTTTTGGATGTTGCCTGATTTTGTTTTTGCCAAAGCCTTCAGGTTTGCTCTCTTGAAGTTGTTAACCTGTAGGGTCCCTTCAGCCTGCAAATATTACAGCCTACTGACAATGCTTTTGGTTGTCTTTCTGAACTTGACTCTAGTGCCAAAGGCAGCACATACATGAATCATAGAATGTAGGGAAACAAGCAGGGACTGACATGGCTAGCTTCTGTGGTGCTGGAAGTTGTTATGTATGCTAACCAGAGAAGAACAGGAATCATCAGTCTCACCCAACTGTGAGTCCTGTGAGCTACAAATAAAGACTGGCCTGAAAAGATATGCCCACTGGTGCAGTGATGGCACAAGTGTTATGAGAGCAACCAGATACTTTCTGATTGGATTTAAGAGAGAATCATGCCATGCACCATTAGTAGGGTCAAGAACCCAAGGCTAGGTAGATCATAGGCCCTAAGGGAGAGTCTATTACTATTACTTTGCTGAATGGACATAGAGTTAAACTGACTCCTAATTTTTAATCATTACACTCATAGATTAGTACATGTCTCAGCCCCCATCAAAGATAGGGGCTTCTTTTTTCTTTTTTCAGTAGATAGTGATTAACAGTGACCCACAACTGGTTAACATGCAGAGAATAAGAGATTTTAGCATATTCAGCCCTTAATGTGGATTTCTACATTAGATAGACCTACTCCTCCCTATGTTCAGAGATCATCATGGAAGAGGGGGCAGAAAAGCTGTGAGTCAAAAGCAGTGTATGATTAGAGTTACACAGTGCTTTCTGAACACAACAGGGCAGTTGTACATATGAACCATCAGTGGCTGTGAGTGTGAGCATAAGACCCACACAAAAATAAAGCCAGACAAAATCCCAGCATTGGTGCAAGGAAGGGGCCAGTAAAACCCACTCCTATTTGAGGAGCGATGGGCAATTGATGGCTGCTAGAAGACAGTTTTCTTCAGGGATAAGGCATCTCATTTCCCAGTAGATGGTCCTACACCCATGTATGTACTAGCAGTACTAAGTGAACTCATGGAAATGAGAGGGAATAGTGGTCATGGTAGAAATGGGGGAGGAATTATAATGGAAGAAATGTGGGGATAGACTTGATGAAAACATTATACGCATGTATGAAATTCTTAATCAGTAAAAAAGACACCACACACACACAAAGAACAACTAATGGAGAATCCATTGTACCCCAGTCAGAATGGTTATCATCAAGGAAACAAAGGACAATAAATGCTGTCAATGATGTCTGGAATGAGGCAGCCTTATGCATCCCTGGTATTCCCAATGGGTGTAGCCACTGTGGAAATGAAAATCCTTCCAAAAAGTGAAAACAGAACTGCCATGTGGTCCAGCTATAACACTCTCAGGTATAGGTCAACATTTTACAAAGGTATTTGCATGTTCATGTTTATTCATAACAGCTAAGGCATAGATGCCCATCAGCAAGTGAACTGATAAAAACATACTGTATATGTACATAATGCAGTGTATTAAGATGTAAGGAAGATCAGAATTGTGTCATTTGCAGGAAAATAGATGGAACTGGAGATCATCATGTTAACCAATGAGCTAGACTCAGAGACACAAATATTTTATTGTATCACTTATAAAAAATCTTGATTGACTTAGAAACCCAAAGAGAAGGGGAGAGAGAAACCAGAGAGGGCAATAGGGAAAGAAAGACAAAATATTGTGTCTTCTCTCAAATTCAAGATCTAAATTTGAATACACACACACACACACACACACAGCATGAAAACTGAAGTAGGACACTTAAGGGGAGAAGAGGAACCAGGGGACAAGTGAAAGGATGAACAAAGTACAATATCAATGTACAAAAAGGTCATAATGGAATAGATTATTTTGAACACTATCTAAAAAATAATAAAACTTCATTGAACTATACCTTAAGATAAATACATTGATTTTGTCCTGATATGTTTCAGTTTAACTGATTATATATATATATATATATACATATATACATATGCACATATGCATATATATTCATACACATCTAGAGAAAAGTTATGGCCACTTTCTACCTATATATCTTTGGTATCCTACCCCTTTCATTGTTTTTTTTGGGGGGGTTGTTGCTGTTGTTGTTGTTGTTGTCTTGATTTGTTTTGTTTTTTTGAGACAGGGTTTCTTTGTGACTTTGGAGGCTGTCCTGGAACTAGCTCTTGTAGACCAGGCTGGTCTTAAACTCACAGAGATCTGCCTGCCTCTGTCTCCTGAATGCTGGCATTAAAAGTGTGCACCACCACCACCCAGCCCTTTCATTGTTTATTTATGTTTGTTCATCTTTTATTTATTTATTTACTCATTTTGAGGCAAGGTCTCAATATGTCACCCTAGTTAGACTACTATGAATAAAGCTGCTATGAATATAGTTGAGCAAGTGTAATCATGGTGTGGTGGCGATTCCTTTGGGTATATGCCAGCAGTGTACAGTTGGGTCTTGAGGTAGATCAATTTTCTGAGAAACCGCCATAATGATTTCCAAAGCAGCTGCACAAATTTGCACTCCCATCAGCAGTGTAGGAGTGTTCTACTTGCTCCACATCCTCAGAAGCATGAGTTGTCACTTGTATTTTTTATCAGCCATTCTGATAGGTATGAGATGGAATCTCAGTGTTGTTTTGATTTGCATTTTCCTGATGACTAAGGATACTGAACATTTCTTTCAGTATTTCTTGGCCATTTGAGATTCCTCTGTTGAGAATTCAATTTAGATCTGTACCCCACTTTTAAATTGCATTATTTCGGTTTTTTTTGTTTTGTTTTTGATGTCTAGTTTCTTGAGTTCTTTATATTCTTTAGATGTCTACCCTCTGTTAGATATGGGGTTGGTGGAGATCTTTTCTTGTTCTGTAGGCTACCATTTTGTCCTTTTTTTTTTTTTTTTTTTTGGTTTTTCTGAGACAGGGTTTCTCTGTATTGTTTTGGAGGCTATCGGTCCAGCCTGGCCTCGAACTCACAGAGATCCGCCTGCCTCTGCCTCCCAAGTGCTGGGATTAAAGGCGTGCGCCACCACCGCCCGGCCCATTTTGTCCTTTTAACAGTGTCCTTTGTCTTACAGAAGCTTTTCAGTTTCATGAGGTCCCCAAAGCCCAGAGACCCATGAGTAGCAAAAATAAAAAAGAATTTAAAAGTCAATGAAACTATTCCTAATGATATTCTGCTATATTCATAGATTAGAACCTAGCGCAGCTATCATTAGAGATGCTTTATCCAGCAACTGATGGAAACAGATGCAGAGACACACAATCAAACATTAGACAGAGCTAGGGAACCCTGCAGAAGAGGGGGAGGAATGGATGTAGGAGCCAGTGGAGTCAATGGCACCATGAGAAAACCTACAGAACCAACTAATCATGGCTCATAGAGGCCGACAAGAGACTGAACCAAAAACCAGGGGGCCTGTATGGGACTGATCTAGGCCCTCTACATGCGTGTTACAGTTGTGTAGCTTGGTCTTCTTGTGGAACTCCTAATAGTGGGAGCAGGAGCTGTTGCCTGCTTTGGGGACCCTTTCCTCCTACCAGAGTGCTTTGTCCAGGCTTAATAGAAGTAGAGGTTCCTAGTCTCACTGCAACTTGATACATGATGACTGGCTGATATCCACTGAAGGCCTGCCCTTTTCAGAAGAGAAACAGAAAAGAAAGCATAGATGGGGGCTGAGGTGGGAGGGAGAGACTGGAAGGAGAAGAGGGAGGGGAAATGGTTTGGTTGGGATGCAAAATCAAAACAAACAAACAAGAAACCAAACAAACAAATCTGATTTATGATCAAACAGCCAAAGGTGTGTTAATGTAGCAATAGTTTCCAGGAATAGTATAGGTCTTTGTAGAGAGACGTGGAACAGACATCAATGTATTAAGCAGCCTGAGACTGAAAGTTCATCGTAACTACTGACAAGGAATAAGAGGGTAGTATCAGATGTGATTTACAGCATCACTGAGGATGAAGTTAGTAACCTTTAGCAAGGAG